AATGGTAACACTAACACTCACTAATACAGGAGAGAAGCCATTTACAGTGAAGGTCTAGTGATTGGCCTGGACGTAACAAGACGGAGCCGACAATGGTAACACTAACACTCACTCACTAATACAGGAGAGAAGCCAATTACAGTGAAGGTCTAGTGATTGGCCTGGACGTAACAAGAAGGAGTCGACAATGGTAACACTAACACTCACTCACTAATACAGGAGAGAAGCCAATTACAGTGAAGGTCTAGTGATTGGCCTGGACGTAACAAGAAGGAGCCGACAATAGTAACACTTACACTCACTCACTAATACAGGAGAGAAGCCAATTACAGTGAAGGTCTAGTGATTGGCCTGGACGTAACAAGACATAGCCGACAATGGTAACACTAACACTCACTCACTAATACAGGAGAGAAGCCAATTACAGTGAAGGTCTAGTGATTGGCCTGGACGTAACAAGAAGGAGCCGACAATGGTAACACTAACACTCACTCACTAATACAGGAGAGAAGCCAATTACAGTGAAGGTCTAGTGATTGGCCTGGACGTAACAAGAAGGAGCCGACAATGGTAACACTAACACTCACTCGCTAATACAGGAGAGAAGCCAATTACAGTGAAGGTCTAGTGATTGGCCTGGACGTAACAAGAAGGAGTCGACAATGGTAACACTAACACTCACTCACTAATACAGGAGAGAAGCCAATTACAGTGAAGGTCTAGTTATTGGCCTGGATGTAACAAGACGGAGCCGACAATGGTAACAATAACACTCACTCACTAATACAGGAGAGAAGCCAATTACAGTGAAGGTCTAGTGATTGGCCTGGACGTAACAAGAAGGAGTCGACAATGGTAACACTAACACTCACTCACTAATACAGGAGAGAAGCCAATTACAGTGAAGGTCTAGTGATTGGCCTGGACGTAACAAGAAGGAGTCGACAATGGTAACACTAACACTCACTCACTAATACAGGAGAGAAGCCAATTACAGTGAAGGTCTAGTGATTGGCCTGGACGTAACAAGAAGGAGCCGACAATGGTAACACTAACACTCACTCACTAATACAGGAGAGAAGCCAATTACAGTGAAGGTCTAGTAATTGGCCTGGACGTAACAAGACGGAGCCGACAATGGTAACACTAACACTCACTCACTAATACAGGAGAGAAGCCAATTGCAGTGAAGGTCTAGTGATTGGCCTGGACGTAACAAGACATAGCCGACAATGGTAACACTAACACTCACTCACTAATACAGGAGAGAAGCCAATTACAGTGAAGGTCTAGTGATTGGCCTGGACGTAACAAGAAGGAGCCGACAATAGTAACACTAACACTCACTCACTAATACAGGAGAGAAGCCAATTACAGTGAAGGTCTAGTGATTGGCCTGGACGTAACAAGACGGAGCCGACAATGGTAACACTAACACTCACTCACTAATACAGGAGAGAAGCCAATTACAGTGAAGGTCTAGTGATTGGCCTGGACGTAACAAGAAGGAGCCGACACTGGTAACACTAACACTCACTCACTAATACAGGAGAGAAGCCAATTACAGTGAAGGTCTAGTGATTGGCCTGGACGTAACAAGGAGCCGACAATGGTAACACTCACTCACTAATACAGGAGAGAAGCCAATTACAGTGAAGGTCTAGTGATTGGCCTGGACGTAACAAGAAGGAGCCGACAATAGTAACACTAACACTCACTCACTAATACAGGAGAGAAGCCAATTACAGTGAAGGTCTAGTGATTGGCCTGGACGTAACAAGAAGGAGCCGACAATGGTAACACTAACACTCACTCACTAATACAGGAGAGAAGCCAATTACAGTGAAGGTCTAGTGATTTGCCTGGATGTAACAAGACGGAGCCGACAATGGTAACACTAACATTCACTCACTAATACAGGAGAGAAGCCAATTACAGTGAAGGTTTAGTGATTGGCCTGGATGTAACAAGACGGAGCCGACAATGCTAACACTATCAGTGTGGCAATCAAGATGTACATTTGTAGGTGATGATGTCACAAATGGTCTTCTTGACTCATACCTTTCACAGGTACAGTTATCAAGGACAATTTAAGTTTGTGTTTTACTGAAGAGCTGATCCATCATTTTTCTGTTTCATAGAATTGAATTCGTTATTGGACAACATCTAAATATTCATGTTGCAAATTGACATTTTCTTCTCAGTGTGGTTAAAATATCCATTTTCACGAGAGCAGGCGAATCAACTTGGAACTGCATTGAAACACGACCCACCTTGTTTCACTTTGAGTTGCCTCGTGGCGTAACACGCACGAAACGGGATAGCACAATACCTTGTGGTCAACACAAGGTCGGGAGTCTGAACCTGTTTAATAGCTACAGAAGTGTAGGCCCCTCACTCACTCACTAATGGCTACAGTAATGTAGGCCCCTCACTCACTCACTAATGGCTACAGTAGTGTAGGCCCCTCACTCACTCACTAATAGCTACAGTAGTGTAGGCCCCTCACTCACTCACTAATGGCTACAGTAGTGTAGGCCCCTCGATCACTCACTAATGGCTACAGTAATGTAGGCTACTCACTTACTCACTAATGGCTACAGTAATGTAGGCCCCTCACTCACCCACTCACTAATGGCTACAGTAATGTAGACCCCTCACTCACTCACTAATGGCTACAGTAATGTAGACCCCTCACTCACTAACTAATGGCTACAGTAATGTAGACCCCTCACTCACTCACTAATGGCTACAGTAATGTAGGCCCTCACTCACTCACTCACTCACTCACTAATGGCTACAGTCATGTAGGCCCCTCACTCACTCCCTAATGGCTACAGTAATGTACGCCCCTCACTCACTCACTCACTCACTAATGGCTTAAGTAATGTAGCGCCTCACTCACTCACTCACTAATGGCTTAAGTAATGTAGGCCCCTCACTCACTCACTCACTTACTCACTGTAGGCTACAGTAATGTAGGCCCCTCACGCACTCACTCACTCACTAATGACTACAGTAATGTAGGCAACTCACTCGCACAAACATCGACCACTCCTGAATCATGCATATCTTCTTTTCTTCGGATACATCATAGGATGGTTTTAGGATTGACAGGGTTGGCTTTGATGAAATCAAACAAGCAACTAAGTAGATGGCGACCTCTTAAAGTATACTTTGATGAAGATATAAGCAAAATGGTGGATACAGATGCTGTCACAGTGGGGTAAAGATCCATACAGTTGCTTGTCAGTATCATACAACTCATTACCCGGGAAGGACAAAGTGCCATGCATAATAAGGCAATCTTGGCGACTTCTGACTTTGTCATATCGATGCCGGTGTCGTAGACTGTCAAGAGGCATGGTATGAGGGCTATTTGTTGGTAAACTGAATGAGTAAAACATGAATAAACCTTAGAGCTTTGATAAAAGCATCTGTTTCAAACACTGAACTATTCTTGTCTCCAGAAAAGTAAAGTAAAGTAGTTTTATTAATAAAAATGACATACGGATATAGATCAAGACAAATTATCCAATCAATTAAATTAGCCACAGAAGTGATATTAATATCTCTATCAATTAACCTATCGCCACCTGTCAATCTCACAACACGATTTTCAACAAGTCAAGAACTGTGAAATGACAAATAATTTGCATCTTCCACTCTTGAAAAGGTTATCTCCCAAAACCCCTACATCTCATTTCCCCTACAACCCAGTTCCCCTACAATTAGTTAAAACAACACGTGGCATTTACCTGTCTGGCATCACCTAAAGGAGAGATTAAGGTCTGGAGTAGAGGTAGTAGAAATGAAAGGGGTAGAGCTTTAGGGGATTAGGGGACTAAAAGGAAAGTTTAAAAAAAGAAAAAAGAATTAATGTAAATGTAATGAAAGATGCCCGTATGATGAGAAGACAATTTTTAGAAATTACAAAAATAACAATAGGAAGAAACAATTATTACACTGAGAAACTTAGATGAGACGATTTACATTTGAGATGGCTAGGTTTAGTACATTGATACTTGAAACTGACTAACATGTGAATAACAAACTACCTAAATGAACACCAAATTAAAAATCTTAAACAAAACTGCAAACAATCAAATATCTTCACCCCAAAACTTAAAATACCAAAAATAGACACAACACTAGCTAGCCAAATAAATAAACAAACCGACCCAAACATAGCTAAAACCACCACACTAGCATACATACACGAAAATTGGCCAAATTGGTGTCACATTTACACGGACGGATCTTCAGATCCGACCTCCAAACACACGGGTTTCGGAGTCCATAAACTCACATAAACAAACAAACATCCACCATACCCCCAACCCCATCGGCATCTATTCCAAATCTCAAAATTCCCAAATTATATATAAGCAACCCCTAAAGCCCCCTCTTGGGTTGCACTCACCACTATCACCCCTTTCGGAAACACATTAAATGGCCTGGCCGGGCCCGTGTGCGAAATACGCATCAGTCGGAAAGCGCACGTTAAATCTCCAAAGTAAGTAAGTAATTAACATGTGCGAAATACGCTACAGTTGGAAAGTGCACGTTAAATCTTCTATATCAGTCAGACTAACATGATCCGTGTGCGAAATACGCATCAGTCGGAAAGCGCACGTTAAATCTCCAAAGTAAGTAAGTAACTAACATGACATCAACATGGCTGGTCTTCCGCTATGTTGAGTTTGTTATGTCACAGAGAGGAAAGCCCTAAGTCATATTTGATGGTTATCTTCTCACTAAGAACATCGAGAGACTGACTTGCGTACACTGGAAGTGTGTCAAGTCCACATGTAGAGGAAGACTGAAATTTATTATAATGTATAATGAACATTTTGTTATAATGTATTAAGAATTTTGAAAAATGAACATTTTATTATAATGTATTATAAATTTGGAAAAATGAACATATTATTATAATGTATAATGAATTTTAAATAATATCGTAATCGTAATTAAATATTTATCTCAATCTTTTCGTGTTTCTTGGGTTGTTCCATTGTATGACATAGGTAACAGACTAGGGATTAGCAGTGCCATGGACCGTGAACTTTGTTGTCTTAAGCTGTAGGGGAAATGGGATGTAGGGGTTTTGGGAGGTTACCCTTGAAAATGTTTGACTGTGCATTAGACTTTTATATACAGATCTCAACACGTTTAGCAATTAAAATGTATCACGAACTATTGCAATACACAATGATGGATGAAATATGTCATTCATTCATAGTGTGAAAAACATTACTATCTCCAAATTAGTACATTTACTGAACTCAACCAGTTCTCATAGCATCCACACATTATTATATCCGCTGTAGATCACCGAACGCTAGTGGTATTTTATAAGAGTTAAGCGCCCCTTTAAAACATTAGGAGAGGGTTGTCGAACTGATAATCTAAAGACCGATAGCATGCGCGATTATGTGAAAAGGTTTCTCCATGACAACACACGTCAGATATATAGTACACTACACAACACATCATTACTGTTCTATAAACAACATGAAACAACAATACTGTCCAATATCATCTGTCTAGGTCACGTGATCTCTCGTGTGGTGCTGTCCTCATTCAGTGCTGTCATTGTGCGTTCCTTTCCCAAATGTACTTGAGAAGTACTTCTATCAGGTCAGACTACTACTGGTGCTAGGTCTACTTGAGAAGTACTTCTATCAGGTCAGACAACTACTGGTGCTAGGTCTACTTGAGAAGTACTTCTATCAGGTCAGACTACTACTGGTGCTAGGTCTACTTGAGAAGTACTTCTATCATGTCAGACTACTACTGGTGTCAGGTCGCCCTATATTTAACCAATGACATGACGGCCTACGTGTGTAAGGGAAGAACTGGATCCGATCTGGACCTAAAGCAGCAGTCAACTTTTGAAAGATTCAACTGTGTAGGGAGATCAAAGTTATCTCTATTTCCGTATTCAGCGCCTGAAGAATTTGAACACTTTTACATCTACATCAAGTGCTTTTATGAATTATCATGGAACTGGGTTTAGTATTCCCCTCTGTCTAGCCATCCATTTAGCATAGGACACAACCAATCATATATCAACCAATCACATTCCTTTTTATTGTTCAATTTTTTGTTAAATACATACTGTAGCCAAGTTTAGTCAGAGAAGGGGTTTGACTCTCTTACCAAGCAGACCTCTCTCCCACAGCCCAGAGTGTGTACCGACTCTCTGTGGCACCCTCAGTTATTATCTAAGTATATTGTAAATTGTTAATTGTTCTTGTAAATAAAATTAGTCTTCTGTGATATATACACAACACCACTCTGTAGTTTCATATATACAGAAGACCACACCATAGTTTCATATGTACACAACACTACACTATAGTTTCATATTTACACAACACCACTGTAGTTTCATATATACACACCACCACACTTTAGTTTCATATATACACACCACCACTCTGTAGTTTCATATATACACAACACCACTCTGTAGTTTCATATATACACAACACCACTGTAGTTTCATATATACACAACACCACTGTGTAGTGTCCTATATACACCACACTCTGTAGTTTCACATATACACAACACCACTCTGTAGTTTCATATATACACAACACCACTCTGTAGTTTCATATATACACAAGACCACACTATAGTTTCATATGTACACAACACTACACTATAGTTTCATATCTACACAAAACCACTTTAGTTTCATATATATACACCACCACACTTTAGTTTCATATATACACAACACCACTCTTTAGTTTCATATATACATAACACCACACTATAGTTTCATATATACACAACACCACTCTGTAGTTTCATATATACACAACACCACTCTTTAGTTTCATATATACACAACACCACGCTATAGTTTCATATATACACAACACCACTCTGTAGTTTCATATATACACAACACCACTCTTTAGTTTCATATATACATAACACCACTCTGTAGTTTCATATATACACAAAACCACTCTGTAGTTTCATATATACACAACACCACTCTTTAGTTTCATATATACACAACGCCACTCTGTAGTTTCATATATACACAACACCACTATGTAGTTTCGTATGTACATAACACCACTCTGTAGTTTCCGGAATAACAAAAGGCGCCATTCCAGCAGTTGCCTCATGTACAAACAACGCTTTGTGAAAATATTGAATCGTTTATGAGTTATGTGTTAAAATTACATCTGAACGAAGTCCAATTTTTTGCCTTGGAATCGAAAATTATAAGGAATAAATAGATCATAAATAGCAAAGTTCAGAACTTGTCTTGATTTTTATGCCATGTTTTATATGTGAAACATTGTGAACAGCTGAAAAAGGAACCCTACTCTCATTTGCACATATGTCCTAAGTGCTGACGAGGAAACGATCATTTGTTTTACAAATTCCTGTAAGCGGCGCAAAATTTGAATACGTTTACATATCTTCTGGAAGTAACATACAGCAGGCCGTCAGCATCAAGACAGACACCATCAGGATATTCCAGACCATCCTGTTGTGTGAGGACATCTCTGACAAACTGCCCCGACTCTGTCAGCTGAATCACCTTGTGGGCGCTAGAGTCTACAAGCAGGATATCTCCCGTGCTGGTTGTTGTGATACCCCGAGGATATGACAGAGCTCTGTCTCCTGTGGGAGTGTAGGTGAAAACAGCGGCTCCTTCACTGGTCACACATACAAGAGATTTTACTTTCCCTTCACTGACTACCAAGTTGTTGTTCCTGGTGACGTGGATGTGGTCTGGATTCCCTGTCACCCCCGTGTTGATAGACCTCAGTATCCTCCCTGTCATGTCCAGTATGTCCACAGAGTGAGACTGTCTCCATGTACCTGCCGCCAGCTGTGAAGGACTCAGAGAGGCTAGAGCGTAGTACACCTTGCTTGTTTTGATAGTCGACAGTATAACAGGATCTGGGGTAACATTTACTGTAACTATTTCCTCACTGCCTGGAACACTGACAGCTATCTGACTTTCACTTAACTTGGCTATTTGCCAAGGATAATTAGAAAGCAGAAGCTGATTATGAAAGGATTTGAAGTTTGATGTGTAATATGTTTTGAGTCTCTTGTTATTGTAACCTGCAACTACCGTTATTTTGATGCCATCAACAGTAAACACTGTGACGTCACGCACCGAAGGATCCTCCCCGTCCCCATCTTCCTTGCAGTCAATGGTGTGATGTAGAACAGGATAAGACTCGGGGTCACTCACTCCATGGACGACTTCAACCTTCCCCAGCTGTAGCTCATTAACTGCTTCACTCAGCTTGTCCAGGTCGTGTTTGAATACAACCCTTCCTGGTGCTGGCCTGTTGTCCGTGTCTCTGTTGTCTGTAGACGTCAAACCCACCGAATCATAGATGGCATACATGTCCATCTCACAGTTGGACGTCACAGCATTGGCTGTGAACTCATACTACTGCTGGTACATCTGTAGCTCGATCTCCTGGGATTTTATATCTGCTTGTAACTCATGTAATTGTTCATCAGTAGCTTTATCGATGTCACCAAGGAGTTGTTTCTCCTTTCTTAAAATAGCACGCATCACTTTTTCCCGTGTCTTTGTGACTTGAACTTTGAGGGTTTGTGAATTACTCTTCACATCTTGAATTGTAGATTTTCTCCAGGTTATGTTATTATTCGTAGCCGCCATGTTGATTCTGAGTTTCTCTATTTTGTTTGTCAGTTGTTCCTTCACAAGAGGGGTCATACTCTCAATTGTATCAACATCCTTACATGTCCTGTGTCTTATACTGCAGCATATCGTGCATATTGCCTGCTTGCAGTCTTTACAGAACAACTTCACCTTTTCATATCTGTGGACTTGACACATGAAGCGACGCTTGACCTTTGTCTTGGTGTGATCAGACAAGTGAGCTACTTCATGGTCACACAACACTGGCATCATGTTGTGCATCTGGAGACATCCTTCACAGAACACAACATCGCAGACAGAGCACCAAGAAGTGGCGGGAGTTGTCTTTCCTTGTTTTGTACAAACACTGCACACATGTTCCTCCACAGCTAAAAAGACAAGTGTTCTTTATTTCATTTGTCATAAAACATGATAAGAATCGGACATTATCTAGGGATATAATAACATTAAAGACGTTACTTTTGTCATAAAGGTACACGCCCATTATGTAGGCGAATATATCACATAACACAGGTTGTAATTAGATACTATTTTGCTGTAGGAATCCCTGGTCAGTATCTGAGCTAGTGTTTATCATAACCAGAACGGGTGTATGGCGCCATTTAAGTTCGGAGTCCAAAATGACAGGAGAGTCAACAATAAGATGTTTATAAATGTTAACGTTACAGGTGCTTTGTCACAGTGGAGGGTCAGCTCTGCGAATTGCACCGTCTTAATGACAGGGCCAACCGTGTGTCCTCATCGATTTGAAAAGATGTCAGAGACCAGATTTATATTAAATAGAAACGCAAAGTGTTTGTTTCTTGCTGTTATAACACGTTTGGTTTATGAAATCCGACACAGACAATAACGATATATGAGCTAACTTCTGTTTTAGTTTCGAGAAACAACCCACATATACCATTGCTCCTTTGGTTTTAGAACCAATGGAGCTAACAAAAGACCACCAGAGTTTGAAAAGAAGTATAACCTTTCCGGCGCATGGGATTAATTCTATTAACACCTTTTTTACATATTTTTGATGGGGCTACGATGCGACAATCCGACATACTTTCACCTTGAAAAATGTCGTGATGTTGCATTGTCACCCTTTGGTAAAATAGTATTCAATGGGTGACGACAAATGGTCAAAATGTGGCGATGTGGCATTGTCGCGCTTTTGGTAATTTTGACACTTTTGCTTGTTTTTTTTAGGACGACAATACGACAACGTGACAATGTCCATTCTGGTTTTCAACAGAACCGATCTAATATCCATTAGACCAAGAATGTGCTCTTTTGTCTTGGTATTTGTTTTGAACACTTTGAAATAGTTATCCGCCTCAACACCTTGGATTTTATTGAAAAAAATAAATTGTCCAAGAAAATTATTGACAAAACCTTATTGTGCTTCTGATATACGCACAACTAAGATCAACTCCACAAATAAAAATCATAACAATTATTTACTAGCTTGTAAACAACATTTACAAGGAGTGACGAGTACCAAGGGGTAGGTGAAATCATTGTATGTAATTATATTTAGTTATGGCACTATATGTCTGAGTTACATTAAATTTCATCGGTGGGTCAGGCTGTAATTTGTTTGTCTTTGTGAGATACTTACCCTGCATTAAATCTATGGACCTGAAGTCATAATAAGCAATTCTATGAGCAAATTCTCGTTTATGTCCGCGCAAGAGTGTGTTTATTTATCTCAAACCAAGGTATATTAGTCAGGCAGTACAATAATAAGCTGATTACCCTTTGTGCCGGGACCAAAGTCGTCCATCAGCCCCTGCATGACGTGGCTTGGTTTCAGCTGACTGACCCACTCCTCTACTGGTCTGTCAGGGTTGGTCACATTCGTCTGTTGTCTACAGGAGGGACATGGTATGGACCTGGCTTGTACTGCTTCCGGCTGTGTGTAGGTGTATTTTAGCAGACAGGACTTGCAGAATGTATGATGACAGTGATGTGTGGCTGGGTCTGTGAACACCTCTGTACAGATGACACAGGTGAGGTGGTTGTCTGTTAGCTTCTTAGCGGTCGCCATCTGAAGCAAATCGGACAGCTAAATGAAGTATAGATGGATGTGTTGTAGACATAATCATAAAACATGTACATGATCGCATTAACCCTGACGTCCAAAGACATAACATCTTTACAAGCAGTGAGACGGGAGAGAAAAGGAGACGACCCACTGCATTGTATATCTGTGGTGCTGTCTGTGGGTAAAGGGGGGTAACTCTTGTTGTCATACTCTACCCTGAGCAATGAACATGAGGAATGAATACCATGTTTTGAAAACATGATCAACTGTCGTTTCTGTTATGGACCAATTTCCACAAACACAAAGGCATGTTTTATGTTAGTGAAATATCAATAGTGTCACACTCTTTGTCATAGTAGGGTCAGTGGAGGATAAGTTCAATATTTCTTTATAGCACAGTGACTCTTTATTTCACTATCATATTTAATAAGATACATTTTCATATGAACTTCCATAAACATTTGATAGATCTTTCATTTTGTATTCTGTCTACGGAGGTTCTACAACATATTTAACCACTATGATTCTGTGCTTGGTAAGAAGCAACTAAATCGAGGATTGGATGACGTGAACACACAAACTTTGACCTGGTCAGCTTTGTGTAACCCTTTGTGTCGGAATTATTGCTCATTCTAGGCCGAGACATGACTATTTACAGATCGCCAGGCTTGAACATTGCTAAATGTGGATTATTTATATCCTGACATTGACAAAAACATCACAGGTTAAGTGAAGGAATGAAGGTTTCCCAACAAAATGTGAGTTGCATGGATCTGAGTGAGTGAGTGAGTAAGTTGGGATTAACGCCCCTTTTAACAGTATTCCAGTTATATTGCGGCGTGTCAGTGCAATGTGAGAGGAAAGCCCGAAGTGATGCAGGTCTCAGACGTTTACCACTTCGGTGAAACCCACGAGCATGGGTATGGTGCTGACAAACCTAGAAACATAATCGGAGCGAACCGGGATTCGAACCCACAATCATAGGTTTCTGGCGTGCCCAAGGGACCACAGCGATTCGCGGCGCCTTAGACGACTGGGCCACCCGTGCCCCCGCGTGGATCTGAATATTGTAAGATATCAAGTGGCGGTTGATTCTTTGTCTTTCAAGGTCACTTGCCACTCTGGCAGTGTTTGGACTATTTTGTATGGAATGTATTTATTTGGTAAAATCCACGTGAAAACATGATCGTCAATCTGACTTCACTTAACTCCTCAACATGTGTCACAAACACTGGTCAATTCCGCACGTATGTATCGTATGTATGTTTTTTTCTACTATTTCAATTTTGTTTGTTTCCCCACTCACTCCCTCGCTTACTCACTCACACACGTACTTGCTATTGATCCACCGCACTCCTGTATACACACAGACATGAGGATATATTATACACGCGACATTGTGTGGATGTTGTGCAAGGGGACCTTGACCTCTGACCTCATTTCTACTTTCGTTTTAACGGGTCACTATGACCTCAGATAAATGTAGGCAAAACCTTGTCTCCCTAGCTGGTGTTAGTTTATGTTGATAACAGTACATTTGATAACAGTAAATCTTATCCTTAATCCGCGATGTAGATTCAGCTGCTAACTGACGTGATACAGAAATATATGGATTTAATCATTGTTGACTCCTGTCGCATAGATCTACATCGATATAAAGCTTTCTGTGTTCAACTGAAACCGAGGTGCTTGCAGGTTTACATTATAACACAGGTAACGCAGCAATGTACTGATAGCGAATTTAAAATCTGTAGTTGTGTGTGAAATGTTATGTAACTACGTGACATACCGATATTACAATGGGCGCGTCTACTCTCTGAAGGCGTCCCACTTCCTGGTTGCTGGCTCGTGTCACGTGACATAACTTAGTTTCACGTGATCCGCTGGCGGCAGGTATATAAATGTATCTAAGCAACTATTTACGACTCTATGGTTTGGTTATTAAAGCAAAACTAATAATAGTTTACACATGTGTTTGTGACCACTCAGAATAAATCGTGCTAAAATTGACATACATAGTTTCTAATATTATCTAGTGAACCAGAGTATATTTGCGACATCATATGAAAAGCACAACTGTTATATACCGTGGCCCATAAGGGACATGGAGTATGATTTCATTTGTATCACAAATTGTGTTAATTTGGAAAAGGTTGCGATAAAAGTAAGTGAAATATCAAAACATTGAAAAACAGATAAATGCTTTAGTTAAATGATAAATGGCAATATATCGTAGTTATATCATTAGGAATACAATCTGTCGTGGTACAACCCGAAACGATAGGAGAAGAGTTGCGTCTCTTAGGATAAACCGGAACAAATTATATTTGTTCTCAACCCGTGTCTGATGATTTTGCTATTGAGACTATAAGTTGTGTTAAATCCATTAAGTTATGGACTATGGGCGATGGGCGATGGGAAAAGAAAGTATACACTTGATAAATGGATTTGAAATTGTGATCCCCGTGTTCCCTGAGACGTCGTGCGCACGTCACCTGTGAGATACTCATTGATATGATGCGTGTGATATTGCCTTTGATAATCGTATCAAATACATCATCATGGAATAACCGTTCCTTGTTTGTTTTATTTGTAGCCACCCTCACATGTGTGTACTTTCTTTAGCCCGGCAGTTAACGGCGGACTTTAAATATAAATAACCCTGGTACAGATAAACTAGTGATCATTGATGTTTGAGAGTACAATACAGAGAGGAAATTAT